CATCTCCTCAACGAGGCAATACACCACCTCGGTCCCCTACCCCAGAGATTGAACTACCCATTTCCCCAATTCCTTCCCCTCCACCAATTTTTACAACTACAACCGAATCACCACATGTAACCGAACCTCCTCAACCCAAAACCCACAGAACCGAAACTACTCATACTCAACCACCAACCGAAACTATACCTCACCCACTCAACCTGCTCCTACCAAACCCTCAACACCCCAACCTCTCCACCCTCTTCATCTCATGGAAATGCATCTGAGGGTGAACAACCTTATCTTGGGGGAGAAAACATGATCTTTGATTCGGTCTACTATAGTCCGTTTCAAGTTCAAAGTGACGAGGAGGATGATGCTCCAGTAACCAAGAAACATCTCAAACAGCTCAACGAGAAGATTGACCTACTTCTCGCCTCCTCGTCTAACCAACAGTCCACTTTGTCTGAAGCTGCCCTTCAGAAGATTGTTGATGCCTTCTCCAGGGCTCAACATGATTCAGCAGCCTCAGCAACTGCTGCAATTCAGGCATCTACCAGGGCATGTGAGGCAGCGACCGAAAAAGTCGATAAACTATTTTCTGATGCCTCTACCCTGCTGCAGTCCTGCAGGAAAGTGCAGATGCCACAAAGGCATCTTTGGAACCAATTGTCCAACAATTGGTCAATTTTGTCTCATCGGAGTTGCCTTCGTTCGCAACTCTACGTCAAACCATAAGCGACGACAACTCGGCATTTACTGCCTCCATTGATGCTCGCCTCGCCAAGCTACAAGAAGATCTGGCAACCGAGCGTTCGTTAATGGACGATCTGGCCATCAAAACAACTGCACTTGAGGTCAAGACAACTCAACTCTCTCAATCCCAACAACAACTGGAAGATCTTCGATCTGAACGGGAGGTGGTCAAGACGTGTGTTTCGGATGTCCACGCTGTTATATCCAACATTCTGGAAGCACACGATCCCATCCTAAACTTTTCGGTGAGGCGTTCCCTTGCTGAAAAGCTCTCTCCAGCCATCGATCTTCTCAACAAAGTCGAAGGCCTCCCAAGTTTTGTGTCCATTCCGAAACAAGGGGGAGATGAGAAGACAGGATCAAAACCACCTCCTTCCTCCAAAGCTACTCACACGACCGAACCATCTCCAACTGATCAAACTTTAGGTTCGGGTGTGAAGAACAAAGGCAAAAACATAGCTGAGGACGAAGATGAAGAAGGCGACAAGGAGACCATTGCTGACATTTTAAAACGAAAGAACAGTCGCAAGGTTGGTGAAGATGCCAGTCGTGTGGCGCGTGAGGCTGCCGAAGCCGAACGCAAACAAAAGAAGCCCACGATCTCCTTGAGAGCCGAAAGACTCTCTTCCCTGCCTGGACCAGGGAACGCTTAATCAAAGAGGCCATTGAAACTCCCAGCATCTTATGGCTCGAGCCGGTTATATCGTTCGACTGCAGCAACTGTCGATTCGCAGTTCGATATGCCGCTGACTCGAAAGGCGTTCATCTTCCACGTCTTCTCTAACATTTTGAAGTCCCTCACCCGAACGCTGAGCTTGACAGGGAGCTCATTGACTTCTATCTGGCGGCTGCTCGTCCACAATTCCTTACATGGAGCGCCCAGAAGATTGTCAACGTTCGGGTGCTAAAACCTTATACTGAGGGACGTTTTATAAACGTTCGGTTCAAATTGATTCGGGGATCTGCAAAGACTGCTCATCTTATCTCCCTGGCAGATCTACCGAATCTAAATCCTCATGATTGGATCGTCCTGTATAATATCCTTTTGACTAATGAAGCTGAATATGGTCCCATTCTAGACCATGTCAAAAGGATGTTAATCTGCTACATCATGGAGGTTGCCCTAATGGATCAGGAGGTCGCCACAGTCTTCAAGAAGAAACCCAAAATTGCTCCTGTGGGATCGGCCAGTGATCTCAATCAAATGCTACTGGGCAGGATCGACCCGAGACGCAACACAGTTATGTTCACTCGAGCGGAAGGACAGAAATGTCTCTTCGCTTTAGCTGACAAGCATCTTTACACCACAACCTGTTTGGAGCATGTGTGTTCATTGTCAAACGGTGTAAAGAGAACTCGGCCGATGATGTCAAGTATTTTGAAGATATGATTAACTGGTACATCCGGTTTAGACAGACCATTCTTTCAATAACCAAATGTCTGTTTAGTACCGTGAAGAAGGTACCGGTTTCAGCTGCTGGCCCAAGTAATAAGTGAAGGTCTCGCTCCAAATTGACGCAAAGGGGGAGATTGTTGGGCTGAAGATCATTTTTGTTGATTGCGTCTTTTGGGCTCGCTTAGCCTAAGGCTTTTTGTGTACCGGTTTGGGCCTGTCCAACCGTGAACCTTTTATGTTTTGTATATATGTTTATGCTTGCATGCATATTAGGTTAAGGTTTTAGAGATCTGAGAATAGAGATACATCTAGACGACAACAGGTTTCTTTGATCGTTCTTGTAACCTTCCAATCCTCTACAGTTGATGTTCTTAATCGAGCTCTTCTGAGGATTTTGTTTAATCATTCGACACGTTTGATTCTATCTTGTCTCGTTCTTATTATTGTGTTTTATTGTCTTTGTTTACTTACTTGTTCAAGATCTAATCGATCTTCATAGATTAAAAGATTGTTAAATCTCATCACTTCCCTCCTATATTTTATATAAAAACATTCATTTTTATAAAATGTTTATTAAGCAATTTGATTTATTTAAAAATCTTGTTTTCAACAAATAATTTATGATTAACACTTGTAATTTATATTTCTAGTTCATTGGTATAATCCATAATTTGATTAATAAAATTTGATATTAGGAAGTTTATAGCCAAATTTTATAAAGTTTTTAAGCTTTATAATTTATAACTTTGGATTTTTGGCTCTTTAGGGTTTTTGGAATATTGTTTGATATTCAACAACATGTTGAAGTATAATTAGAATGTTTTCATTTATTTTTAGAGTTTTATACCCTATTTCAATTATAACAAAGCTTGAAGCTTTATTCTAATTATAGTATTGGCATTTCCTATTGTAGCTAAGCAACTTACTAGAATTGTAAGTATCAAGTATTTTAGTCCTAGACCTTAGTTGGATCCTAGTTTATGCAAGATTTTTGACCTAATTTATACTACTAGGTCATGGCATGTTGTGCATGAATGGTTATTATAAAGATGCATGAGTCCAAGAATGACCTGAATTGGCAGTTGTCACAAAAATGGCCCATTCTCTCTCCTTTTTCTTGCGTTTTACCTCTTTTTCCGTGCTCGCACTACCCCGAAGCCCTGGTCATTTTGTGCAAGTCCCGAAGGTCGATTTTTCTCCCGAGGAATCCCGAGATTTCCGAGGAAAATCCATTTCCCGAGATGAAACTCTGCCCGGTTTTCCATCTTGCTATCTTCAAACTTTCAAGTGAGTTCATACCCCTTTCAAACACACTTTAAATACATTTTAAATGCTTTTATACTATTTTAGGGGGGGGGGAATACAAGTAAACATACGGTTATTATCGTGTATTTTATAAAGTTCACTTCACTTGTTTTATCGAATAAATCACTTGGAACTCATTACTATTATGGAAAACTCTTGTCATACTTTGCGTGCATCAGACATTATACAAAGTATATAATGATTTCAAAGTAACTTTCGTTGTTAAATCGTTTTATACATCCTAAAAACTTATGATTTTGCTTTGTCAAACATTGTGAAAAAGGATAAACTTTGCATAGAAAACTATCACTTTAATACGGGCTTAATTGAGAATCCATGAGACGTCTATATCTTCAAACGTTACTTTTCTTTATTAGAAAGTAATGCTGCAAGTCCTGTCTATAACCAGAGTCTCCCGTTCGGAGAATGTGTCAAATGTGTATAGATCTATACAGGAAGTCATGATCCCGCGCCCTGACTGTTAGCTACAGTCCATCTTTTGGAGTGACAGTTGTCATAACGCTGTGACGCCTGAAGAACGTCGTTACAGGCATATTATGTTTAGTATGGTTATAAAACTCATCGGATATACAATTATTATGGTATTATGCTATTATGAACGAGTAGCTATTAAAACTATTCTTTATCTAATAAATGCGATCTTCGTATAGTTTTACTATATAAAACTATGACACAACTTTTGAGAACGTCGGTTTCTTGCGATTTTCGGTCTTACAGACTGCCAATTATATTAGGAAAATAAGGGTTTCTCCTGCATACAAACCAAACAACTAATAGGAAAATAAGGGATTTTCCTGGTGCAATTATTTACAACTTATAACACGAACATTTATATGCATTTCATACTTTTATAAGAAAATAAGGGTTTTTCTTGGAAAACACAACAACTCGTATCTCAACCATTAGGGAAAATATGGGATTTTCTGGGTCTAATACATTCACTTTCAACACAACAAATCACAACTCTTTACATTTGAAATGCTGCGTTTTCTGGAAAATATACACCCATTTTGGAATGGCATCCAATTTTTCTAAACTACTTATGAACTCACCAACTTAATTGTTGACACTTTTTCTTTGAAATAACTTGTATTCTCAGGGAACCGCTAAGCAGGTTTGGAAATCAACTTTTGGGATTAACGCGCTGGCGTTAATTACTTCTTTTTGATGATGTTTATGTATTTATCTTTGAACATGTAATGAATACAATCATGTAAACATCTTGGAAACTTTAATATATATGGTGGTGTGTACTTTCCTTTCTATGAACTGTTATGATACTGAATATGACGTCCTCCGCCCCCAAACGTTTCCGCCGTTCTGGTTTGGGGGTGTGACAACAACAAACTCCAATATGTCATTACCAACCATGTTAAGGGCATTCACAATGTTTCAATGTGCTTACAAAAGATGTACAAAATATGGCTATCAGTAATTTAAGGGCATTCACAAAAGATGTACAAAAGTAGCATTCACAAAAGATTCACAAAAATAGCATTCAAAAAAGATGTACCAAAATACCCTTACTACCCTTAACACCCTAATCCAACTCCAATGCTGAACTTGTAGAAGTCCCAACACATCCCATCTTCTTCAGCTTGTTTTTAACAATCCTCTGAGAGGGCCTTCTTTTCACAATCCTAAGGTGTACTGGTAATTCTTGGGTGTCATTAATGCCTTCTTCTTCTTCACTTTCTGGTTGTGTCTCAGGGATAATTTCTTCACCCCCATCTTGTGTCTCAGTTTGAGGTGGATACTCCTCTTCTTATAAAACATCAAGAAATTAATAATATAAATGAATGTAAACATTAAGGTAATACAGAGGGTTTACCATAGACATAGGAAGAACTTGTTCAATAGTGTCATTGTAATCATTAAGTTGCTTCATACGTCAATCTGTCAGACTAAGTGAATTCTTAATTTCTTCAATTGAATACCCTGATTGTTTTAAATCTTGCATTGACTTCCATAAATGGACTAAATATTTTTCAGGAATAGTGTCATCCTCATTTTCAACTGTATCACCTTCAACTTCAGCACCTCCACCACCTTCAACTCTAACAAATGTCTTACTGCCCCTACCACCTTTTTTACTACCCCTACCACCTCTCTTACTACCCCTACCACCTCTGTTAGCCACTACACCACCTATGTTACCCACTACACCACCTCTATTACCCCCTCTACCACCTCTACTACCCATTACACCACCTCTACTACCTCTGACACCACCTTTTACACCACCTCTAGTCCAATGACTGATATCAGAATCCAATCTTGGATAAACTTGGTTGTTTGAATCCCTCCCTATTGTTGTGAGTAATTCTCCTTTACATGTCCCTTTCAAGAAAGATCCATCTAGACCAATTACCATATGACACCCTATTTTCCAACCTTCCTTGATTGCTTTAAAACACAAATACATCCTGTGAAAGTATGTTGTTTGATCTGGATTTACAGTGACACCAACTTGGATAGTGCTACCAGGATTTGACCTTAGTAACTCATGACAATAGTCCCAGACCCTAGCATAATGTTCTGTGAGTTTACCATCTATAATGATCATTGCTCTACACCTTGTTCTATAATCCTTAGACCAAGACACACCATAATGAAATTTGTTCCTAATTATTGATTGCATCTCCTTACACTTCAAGTTAGGTTTCATTATCAACTCCTTCAAAAAGTGTCTTGCTAGCCATCTGGGACTCAGTAAATTTGAAATATTGAAATTTCTAACACATTTGTGCTCATCCACTAAGGTTTTAATCTGAAAAGACCTTTCTTGAGTCATCCAGGAAGCATGAACTCTGAATGGGCAGGGTTGATACTTCATCTTAGAAACACATTTGGCAGTTAATCTCACAGTGTCACACTTCGCAAATTTAATGTTATACCCTGACTTAATAGCATAATTCGTGAGACATTGTTGCAACTGATGTGGTGATTCATACCTTTCACCAAGAAGGGGGGATTCATCTTATTCCACTTAACTGATGGGTCGTGAATGGGGAAGCATGCACCAACCGCATCTCCCAAATCAAGATCATTAGCCCCTGCAGTGTCATCGATTTCCTCTTCTGAACCAAACCCTTCTTCATCTTCATCAACTAAGTCATTGTCTTCATCAGCTTCATTATCTTCATAATCAGAACTGAAGTTAAGGAAAGCATCCTTGCATCTCTCTTTACCTTGTGTCTTGAAATAAACTTCTTCCATTTCCACATCCATGTGCTCAGTATCGAGCACCTCTTCATCATCTTCGTATTCTTCAGAGTCGTATTCTTCAGATGACTCATGGTGAACCTTTGATTCGACAGCCATTGGGTTTTACCTTCGTTTCTCTCAGTAAAACCCTACTTCCTTCGTGTATCACTTTGTAAAAACCCTAACTTTTTCTCTCAATCGATCTACCAGACGTCAAATGCAGTAGAAATGGAAGGGTAAAAGTCACTTGTACACGTAAGGTGCCACATACGTATAGTACCGGTGGGATACCGGCTAAATTTCCCGTTTTGATTACGTTTACAAGTATTTAGGACTTAATTGCAAAAAAAAAAATATAGGGGCTAAATCGATTATACGGGAAATACATAGGGACTTTATTTCAATTTCCCCTTATTAAAAAATAGGCAGAGAGACAAAGGGTGATGGGTAGTGGTGGTGATGGTTTTTACAATGTACGAGGTTAGTTGCTCTAGAGGGCAACATAACACAAATTATACAAAATAACACAAATAATAACTCATAAAAAAGGTAAATGGCTAATAGCAACCACTTCTAAACGATGTATCACAGTGTTCTGGTTTTCTGAAAGTGCGACGTTGGTTGCTCTGGATGGCAACAACTCGAAGGCAACAAGTGGTAAGTACTTGGGCAGAAATTAGTGGCATAAATATATTAATTGGTGAAATTAAAGTAGAACCACATACAGAAATATATATATATATATATATATATATATATATATATATATATATATATATATATATATATATAATCGATTTAGCTAAACAAAAACATAAATTAGATAATAATGTCAAAATCAAACATGAATCTGTAAAACGAAGATGAAGAGGGGGAATGCATGACAGGAAAAAAAAACTTACCATTCAGTTTTCTATTTAGATCTGATCGACTGATAGACGGACATGATTTGTGTGTGTGCATGATGGTTAAGAAGGGAATAAGAAGGGGTGAGGCTAGGGTTTTCAGAAGGTTACAAGATTCAAATACATAGATACATATATCGAAGAAGGGAGAGACAAATAAATTGAGACATATAGAAAGACATTTCATGATGGTGGCAATGCTCAATGGTGCAAGGCTGCGAAAATTTTGGAGTGAGATAGAAATCTAAGATCGAATGATGAGGTGGTGGTGTGGTGGGCTCGTTTGGGGCAGATGAAGGTGACCGACGGGGGGAGGTAGGGGTGTCAACAGGTAGTTGCCCAAAATAATGACTTCTCTATTCCACTTTGTTCTAAATAAAAACCTGGACATGAAAGAGAAATGTTAGAATCATATATATTCTCTGGGGTTTACGAGAGAAAGAGATTAAGCAGAGAGATTAAAATGAAACATGTTAATGCAAACAAAGTTTATACATCTATGACTGAAATGGAAATGCGGAGATACAACAATAAGGGCCAAAAAAATGGGAATTTTAAAAAATTTAATATTTCCTCAGAAATATGGGGATTCAACAAGACTCAATCAACAATTAAAGGGATTAGGTAAAAAGTCTATTAAAACTAAGGAATTGTATGCATTGGTTGATTGTACGTTTAGTTTAATAACTTGGACGACTTAACATTTAATATTATTTTACTAATTGATTGTTGTACTTTAAGATTCGATGTTTGAACGTATTAAAAAAATAATATTATTATATTAAATTTATTTTTAGAAATAGTAAGATTTCTTTTATAAGATAGTAAAGATATATATATATATATATATATATATATATATATATATATATATATATATATGTATAGTTATAGGCCGAGAATGAGAGGAAAGAGTGAAAGAAAAGAGTGTTTTGGGCGTATATTGAACCTTCTTGAAATTATAGGCCCAATATGAAGGTTATCGGACCATTGGGCCCTTGTTATGGGTTTACGGCCCAAAGGTGTTGAAAGGATCGGGTTCACGGCCCAAAAATGTTCAAGAGAGTTGTTTTCGGCCCATAAAGGCTCACCAGAATAAAGCGGGTCATTTGAGGTCCAATAAGGCTCATAAGAGTTAAATGAGATATTTTTAGGCCTAACATGGTCCAAAAGGTTATGGTTTCATTAAAATTAGTCCAATTAGAGCCCAAATAACCAAGTTGAGCGTTTATTAGCGGATTAGGCCCAATAAATGATTTTTAGGCCAATTGGGGTTTGATTTTGGAATGAGGGTTTCAAATCCATAGTTCAGTATTTGAGATGTATCGAATTAGGTTTTTAACTTTATGAGTCAAACAGGATTGGACCAGAAGGTCAACATGGTTAGGACCAGAAGGTCAGCATGGTAGGATCAGAAGGTCTACATTGATTATATGATCGGAAAATCCCACTGAGACATAGTGACCGAAAGGTCTTGTAGCCTAAGGCGACTAGTATGTGTATGTGGTATTTTGATGAACTTACTAAGCATTTATGCTTACCATGTTATGTGTTATGTAATTCAGGTACTTCTGAGGATTAAGGGAAGGCTCCGACATGATTGTACACCTGCATAGAGATAGAATGGTGGTCCTGGATTGATAAATTGTTTTGAAAACTTATTGATTAATTTTGAGAATTAATGTTATGAAATTTGTTTTTATGAAATTAAAAGTGAAAATTTGGTTGAAAATTTTTAGTTGGTACAAGTTGGTATCAGAGCCTTGGTTTGAGGGATTCGGATACACCTTCGGGTATGTTCGGACTCAAACTGGGGATTTGGGAAAAGTTTTCATAAAGAAACAATTTTTCTAAAAATAAGTAAAAAATTTCAAGAAATTGAGCAGTGTGTACAGTCAGCCAGCGTCCGAATGGTGATTTCCTAAAATACCCTTACTTTGTGTGTTATAAGTTGTTATTAGATATGTTATGCATGCTAGAGAGTAGGCTAGGTATTTCATGATTTAGGACTAGAGTGCCTGATTTGTGATACCTTAGTCTAGGGGATTGCTACATGTGATTTGAGTGCAAGTAGGTAGCAAGAACGAGCATATGGTAGGTTTTCTATGAGAGCAGTCGATGTTCGAAAGAGGTGGAGTGCTTATGAGTTAGGATCCTAGTAGGAGGACTTGGTGTAAACACAGATACGGTGTGGAAGGTGGTATTGGTCCCGTACTACTGAAAACAACGAGTCGGTAAGCCTTCCAAGTAAGAATCCTAAGGGCACTAAGGAGAAAGTATGCGCGAGAGATCGAGTCTTTGACTATTTTATGTTGTATTTCAGAGACATCATGGTGGGTACATGCCACAACTCCGAGAGCAGCAGAGCCAGCGATGATGAGATTCGTGTGATGATTCATGAGGAGGTGGCCGCAGCCATCCGCGAGTCTATTCCAGAGATGTTTAGGTCTATTAAGACCACGTTGATTGAGACATTTGATGAGTGATACGCTTCTGTCACTCAGGCAGTTGCTGCTGCAGCCACCACAACGGTTGCTACTAACAGGCCACAAGGGGCGACTCGTTGTTGTACCGAGAGTTCAGCAACACACAACCACCAGAGTTTGATGGGACTCAGGATCTTATTGTAGCGATGAGTTGGATTTCGGACATTGAGGGATGTTTCTATACTTGTTCCTATCCGGAACATCCGAGGGTACGGTTCGAGCTGAACCAGCTTCGCTTAGGAGCGAAGGACCGGTGGAAGTTTGTGACAGCCGATTTCACTCCTGTGGATCTTATCGAGGTGACTTGGGAGAGATTCACCACTATGTTTTGAGATGAGTACATTCCCTCGGTGGACAGGCAACGGTTGGCCCATGAGTTCTTGTCCCTCAAGCAGGGGACCGAGTCTATGACGGTGATTACGAGGATGTTTCATGAGAGGGTACTATTTTGCCCTGAGCACGTGTCTTCTGAGCAGGCACACATGAGTCGATACTTGAGCATACTGGGGATAGACATTCTGGAGTTCGTGGAGAACTCATCATACCGGACATTTACAGAGCTTCAGGAAAATTCCTGGGAGAGGGAGATAGAGATGGAGATTCAGGCCAGAGAGGAGGCGGAGTCTCAAAGGAGGGATCGGCGACCGGCCCAATCTCAGTCGGCAGCCAAGTGGACAAAGCCCGCTGATTCGAGATCTGGAGGCTAGAAGGGCCGCACTTGTGGAAAGTGTGGAAAGGGACATAAAGGGATTTATCGGGCAGGTGCTTGCTACAAGTGTGGCAAGGAGGGGCACATAGCCAAGGATTTCCCCAAGGGGTTCATAGTCTGTTTCCACTGCAATCAGAATGGCCATTGGAAGGTCGAGTGCCCACAGTTGATGCAGGGACCAGCACATGGATCTGCCCCTGTTGCTGCACGAGTTGTAGAGAGTCGGCCAGTGAAGGCTGAGGTTCCGAAGGCTCGCGGGAGAGACTTTAAGTTAAAAGCGGAGGAGGTCTGTGCAGCACCCGATGTAGTGGCTGGTATGTGATCTCTTATGTTATTTGAATTATGTTATCCTTATACTATGATATGTGTGGGTACGTTTCTTGTAAATTATGTACCTGCTTTGGTGTTATTTTAATCGGGTGTGAATCGATCATTATTATCTATAGCATTTAGTCACCACATCCATATACGACGGGAGGCATTGAGTCGACCTTTGAGAGTCTCTATAGCTGACGAGCATGCAGTGTTTGCAACTGATGTGATCCGGGGATGTTTTCTTGATATTTTCAGAGTGGAGTTTCTGAGAGATCTGGTACCGATTGTGATGGGTGATGTCTGTGTTATTGTGGGCAAGGATTGGCTGAGTCAATTTAGAGCTATGAGTTACTGCGAGAGTTAGATGGTGACAATACGAGACCCAAGTGGGGGAGTGCTAACGGTATATGGCAAGGGTACCTGATCAGGATCAACATTTTGCATGGATTCCAGAGCGATACATAGTCTAGATTAGGGTTGTAGAGGATTTGTGGCGTATGTGGTGGATACTCGTGTTGTCGTTGAGAGACCGAGTTATGTCTTTGACATTCCGATAGTGAGCGAGTTTCTAGATGTGTTACCTGAGGATTTGTCGGGGGTACCTCCTGAGAGGCACGTGGAGTTTCGTATTGATTTGATTCTGGGTGCGGCACCTATCACCAAGGCACCTTATCGCCTTGCACCGCCAGAGATGCAGGAGTC